AATAGATTAATAATATACACAGTAAATAAATCACAGTATAGAAATCAGAGTAAATAAATCAGAGTAAATGAATCACAGTACACAAGAAAATAAATATCGAAGCCAATGGTTCTCGAACATCTGTAACATACAAGGGATTAGTAACAAGGGAGGGGACACAAGAACATGCACAGTAAATAAATTAATAATATGCACAGTAAATAAATTGATGGTTGTCGAATGCCTGCAACAAACAATGGATTAGTAACAAGAGAAAGGACGAGTACGAGACGCGCGACCACCCTCCGCGACGGCTCACGAGAAAGTGAGGAAGCTAACGCTGTGATGTATTGGGCGTACGCAGGTTTGTTCGTGTTGAATTGTTTTTGCCAGCTTGAACGACCTTCCTTGAACGACCCAAACACCGTATGATACAGCCAGGCACGGCTATGGTACACGGCATACACGGCTAGGTCAATAAACTGTGTGACGCAACGTCACTAGTGCGTTGAACCGACGGAGAGCACCGATATCGCGGCACGCTCTACCGTACTCTCTCGCTCGCACACCTCCCCCCATAGACCACCGAAATTCTTCGGCACGCGTCAACACCGACGAAGAGCACCGATACCACGGTTCGCTCTACCGCACTCGCTCTCTCCCGTTCGCCCGCTCCGACCATCTTCGGCATCGTTCGGTACGCGTCGACACCGACAGAGAGCACCGATACCGCGGGTCACTCTACCGCTCTCAGTTATTTATGATGTTCATAGTGTACAGGATACATACTATATCCCAGCTAACAATGCCTAAAGGTCGTGGTTGTAGGTAACGTTGGTCGCGATTTTAAAACGATAACACGCCTCTAAAACAGGGATCTCTCAAATTTTGGAGAAGCGGGCAACATCAAATACTTTTAACAGAGATATGCATTGCATATGCAACAGATTTTTAACTTTATACAATCATTCAGTATCTACGACATGTTTTGTGTAATATAAATAAAAATATAGCTACAGAAAATACATGTCAGCAGGTAATAGTTCAAGAGTTCTTGCTCTAAAATTTCGCAAGCGTGGAATAAGAAAAATACACGTTGTATGCTCTGGCTATATATTTAGGTCTATATCTCGTCTGTCGTCTGTGGCGGAGCGCATCAATATGGCCACCGGTAGCTGCGATAGGTGGCTTGCGTACCCGCTCCTGCATTATTTAAGTAATTTTGCGGTACGTGTAAGTGTATGTTGAAATAAACATTTCGTTGAAATGAATATGTCAGTAGAGAAGAAGAAGTATCCTTCGGCGTTGCCGACAAATTGGCCGACGAGGGACGAAACTGCCAGGAAAAGTCAAAACCAATTGTCAACCACAGGAAAGGTTGACGTTTACTATTACAGGTAAGTTATGCACTAAAAAATGTTTTATTCGAATAGCAATGACTCAAACTGACAGTGTATTGCATATAAGAATGTCTAGAAGTTTACAAAGAATGTTAAATTTATCAGAATCGATACACAGTTGTTTGTAGACGGTAATCCTAACCTCAACGCTGTCTGTTTATGGATATCGTATTTTTTTCCAGCCGTGGCGTACGAAACGACGCATCGCTGGTACCACCGATAAGGCAGACAGCGTCCATTTTTAAACAACCAGTCACAATTTATAAGACTCAGGAGGGTAAAGTGAAAGATATCAAACATGGGAATCAAGAAAAACCAAAACAGGTTTGTAATTGCTCCTTAACACATGCGTTATACATATTAAATTATTGACAGTTTGTAAGGTGTTCCCCAACATTACTGTTTCTTATACAAAAATATTTCCTGATAAGATGTTATCTATTTCATCTTATTCTGTAATGTGTCACTTATTAACTTTATCCAGGTCTGTTAATAGACATGTTACTCCTCTTCCGTGTATATAAATACCATCCCCTGAATTAATTATTTGTTACACTTGTAAAATCATTAGGATCGCATTACTTTATTATAGCATTTATATGTATTCCTTGTAAATTCTCATGGTACAATCATCCAATCATTCGTTTAGGAAGGAGCCGATAAAACTGATGGCAAATATGGCTCCCAAGATAAGCCTAAACAGGTAACATTGTTCGATGTGCTTATGGAATCATTATTATGTGTTTGTTCCTTTCTGTCTAGAAATCCATATTGTTATGTACAAAATGTTGATAATCTGTAAATCATTACCTTCGGTTACCTTAGACGCAGTTGTGTAGTGCATGTTCCATTAGGAAATTCCAAAGGATGTAATCATTTCACAGAATTCAAGACTATAACAAACATAGTTCTCTAATGTGATGTTCATAAATTATTACACTTAAGTTCTCTTCTATCATCTGTTGTTTGTTAATATAAATATAATGCTCAAGACAATCATTCGAAAATTTACAATATGAAAATGCATATTCTAATTTTGCTTGTGACATGAAGTAAACAGATCATGCTTTTGTAATTAGATCGTCGGTATGCGTGTTCAGCATTATTATTTCATATAGAATACTGTTATTGTCCCACAAACACTATTGTTAACATATACAATAGAAAATTCCAATCTTGCAGTTATTTTGGGAAAAACGTTTGGAAGGTTTAAGAGCATGCGATCCAGATGGTTTCGAATTTGACGCAATGGATTTGCCAAAAAGTTTGAAACCAGTGGGCCCGTACATTACAGAAGAAACTCTCCTTCAGAGTGTTGCGACTGCTCTACACGTCTCGTCTCAGCCGGTTACAGGACAGACGGGTTCAAAGACAGCTTTAGAGAAGAATCCCGGGGTATTTCTTAATCCCGATCAACCCCTCGTACAGGTAGAATAGATATTTAGATATTGGATAGGGTGCTAGTTTATATATATGTTTGTATATTGTGTATAAAGTACGCTTAAAAATTAACGTCACACCCTATAATATAAATAATTATGTACCGGAGGTTCGAAAGGGTATAGCAATCATAACAGACAGATAATTTCAACGACATCATAAAAATACCAAATCGTATCTCAAATAATTGAAAAAAAGAAGAACATATTATATTTGCTTCAGGCTGTCTCGATAGCGGACGAAGATATCAAGAGGCAAGAGGACCGAGTGGCCCTAGCGAGAAAAAAATTACAGGACGCGTTACGCGGGGTCCCCGCATAAATTGTACAATTCTTTTTAGCTGTATTATCATTCGCTCATCCCTAGTCCTAAGTTCCTCATAAATTATGTCATACCGGTTTTTATAATAAATGTTTTGTAAGCATCACCACTGTAACCCACAATACGATATTTATTTACGATGTAAGTTCGAGAGAATTGTAAATTGTTTCAATCGATTTCCATTCAGCTACGGTTTAATATATGTTTTTTTAACAATATGCACTTTCGATGTTGTTGCATGGAAAATCGGTGGATTTACGAGGCTCCTTGTTGATTCTGGGAAACAGTTCCGACGCGATAAAATTGGCTGATTAGCTTGGGCGTGGGGGGAAGGGTTCGAGGATCGGTCAGCTGCGGCCGTCGTAAAATCCAATTTCGCTTTTCGTTACGAGCTGCTGATAATTCTGACGGGCCGTGCACCGTGGTTATTCGCCATCTGCCCGGATTTTCGGTGTACACAGAAAATTGAGTCGGACTCGGGCAGTCGACGAGAATTTTCGGAATTCCTCGGATCACGGTTCAACAAGAGGCTCGGACGTGAAAGGGGCAGCATCTGGCTTCGCACGGACCGGAAACGAGGCCGCACGAAACGATCCCCGAACCGAACAGTTCCGCGCGAGAAAAAGTAGTAACGCGCGTGCAGCCCCACGCCATATGCGTAGCCGTATTATATTAATTGCTTCTGACGCCTGAACATTTTTTAGTGGTTCCCGAACCATGCAAACGACGGGGACACGTTTTTGGTTACATTGTGGTAATCCAATCTAGAATGCATTTCCAATTATACGGAATGTCCCGGATCTAAGATACCGTCGCGATTATATGAATACCCCATATTTAAGAAATGATTTGGATAATGTGGGGTAGTGTTATATTACTCAAAGCACTCGTTACACGTTATTAAGGTGCCTATTCCCATACAGTCCACCTTGTTATACGTATTCGAATATATTTTGAATTATATAGGGTGTACAAAGATTGAAATAAATTTTCAGCATTTTTTTGTAGGCTAGATAATATCATAACTACTGTACACTATCGATTAGAGTGTTTCTAACTTAAGATACGCTGGCAACTGTACCAGAACTGGAAAAATATTCATGCTTACGAAGGTCATTTCTAGTATTGTTGGAACAGTTTTACTAAAACTATCTATTAGCGTCGTAGAAAACTGTAATTTTCATCGTTTTTACAGATTACATCTACAAACGATCACCGGAACAAATTCCCTGTCCAACGTGCAAATTAGAAAATATACATGTCGAACCTACGACCGATCGAAAATTAATGACTGCGTCCCGACAGTTTAAGAACACCCTGCTAGTATATATCACGTCAATCTCCTCGAGAGTCTCCTCCGATCGCGTTTCCACCTTAATTACAAAGGATCAAAATTCGTCTGGAGCGGAAACTATTTCTCAACTACTAAGGCCTTAATGTCCCTGAAAGAGGAGGCGACCACGGGGCGTTCTAAATCATTGGTTTCAGGTTAGCCCCCCGAAAAGTGGTTGGTCGAGTCGGCGCGGGTCAACGAAACTGCAACCATACGCGAGGATGTCCCACGGAACGCCAAGAGTCACATCGGTGCAACCAGTGCAACGACAAAGAGATAAACAGAGAGGGAGAGAGGATCATGATACGTTCGTGAGAGTAGTCGTAGAGCCTGTAGCAGCGAGTTCATGTCATGGGAGTACATTCTCCAAAACATCTTTCTCGGTGGACAACAGTAGCTTTGTGCCCGTGCAGTTTTCTGTACGACGGCGAAGTACACACCGTCGTCTGGGAATGGGTGCGTGCCCCCGGGGCCCCGCACAAAAGAATGCCTGGGCAGGTATACGGACACGTCGGTTTTCAGGTAAGCACAAGCCAGGTAAGCCAGGTGGTAACCTCTTTTTTTTTCACTCTGTCTGCACTCTCCACGGCCATTCTCTGAATCCCCGACCTCCGTCCTTTTCTCATCGTCGCTGAACAGCTGTTTCCCTGTTCGCGAAGGGTCGTTCTCCCTTATTGTCAACCGGCCCATTCGAGAGGGAGGGAGAACGAAATAGGAGCCGGGTGGGCGAGAAAGAGAGAGCATACACACGACGTCCTCGGTCGACGAAAGCACATGTCCCACTTTAAATCGTTATAATTCGTCGAACACGTTTGTAGATCCTGTCTAATCGGGCTTACGTATTTCTCCTCTTTGGTAGCGTCACCGCGTATATGCGTGATACCTAGCCGCGGAGGAAGTCTGATTGAGGATGTGACCCGAATATTCAGTACACACTGTCAAGGATACGATTAATTCGGTCGGTTATATTATAGAATCTGCGCCGGTGTGTAGGTATATTACACGAGCATAAATATAAGTACTGTTGCATCATATGGGCAACAATATAATAACAAATAGCCCTGATAAATCTATAAATATTTACTTCCATAAAAACTGGTTCCGATGAAAGTATCATAGGCCGAAGAATATCATTAAACAAATAATTAAGATCATTTCCTCCCTTGCAGTTGCAATGTCAACGCCTGCTTTAGACTTTTATTAATGATTATAAACTGTTTAACAATTTACTACAATTGACATTTTATGCACGCTAATCGAACGATTAAAGAGACCAGAAAGTTCGTTGGGCAATTGCACGGAGGTTAGACCGCTATTGTAATGACTGAAGCATGGTGTTTCGGTTTCATTCAGTAGCGCGCGCGGGAATGCGCAAGAATTCCCACGAATAAACCAAGGAAACGAGCGAGGAACAATCGGTGCGCATTTAAACTGTATTCATTTCATATCCTCGCAGTTGGTATCCAATAAAACTTAATCCCCGCTTAAGTGCCGTTGCGGTTGGTGGAATATCTGCGCCCGTGGTCAAGCGACAGAGAAACTGTAACTCGAGGCGAAAAGATCCACCAACCGTGCTCGTTTTATTTCCCTCGGTCACCGTCTGGAATTCCAACTAGGCTACAGGGACTCCAGGTGCTTGTTCTCTTGAGCCGATCGAATTCGCGCTATTCTGCGAGATTAGATTCAGTTGTTTTCGCGTGTCGCCCGAGTAAACACGCCGATTAGGGACTCGAGCATAATAATCGTTCTCTACAGAGTGTAAACATTGATCATTACTATGAAAAAAAAAGAAATTAATTAATTATTATTAATTATCATCTGTGATCGGAGCCATTAAAGTTACGCGAAAAAAATATTAAATTTCTAAATAGAATCATTTTAGTACTTCGTGTATGTATATAATTCGTAGTAGAATAATAATGAAAATAACGCGTAGACTGCAGACTCTATGCATTTATAACCAAAAATACTTTTCTGTCTCGGTCTTCTTCTCTGGTCTTGTCCGAATAGTAAAAACTGTGGCAGTCAACTTGTTAAGTACTCAATAAGTACTTAACCACTTTATTGGATGTTGTAAACGCGCCCAAAGGCGTTCAACAAAACACGACTCGCTAACCGTAACTGGAGGATATCCGTGGCGGACGTGTCCTGAGTACACGAATGGTGAACCCCCTGAAAGAATCAAGCGATTAAATAATTGACTCCTTAAAACATGGCCGTTAGAAACATTCGGCAGGTGATGGTACGGAGTGATTTTTATACGGGTGCATGGTCCGTGCATCGCATGAAAGTGGTTATCGAACGACCCTTACACGAATGCTTCCCGAAATGTATCGCGGATCGCTACAGTTCCGCGGAGTAAAATTGGATGGGACGATTCTATCTGGCACGTATCGCCAAATTGTATCTCTCTTGGTTATGTCGAACCGCACTCGCGTATAAATAGAAACGCTACTATGTCTTGTTATCGATCTTTTGAGAGGGGGGTTCAAACGAGGATGGCCGGGTTGACCGCACACACACACATACACAAACACATGTACAGATAGAACCACACACGAAGGAGACATGACCCTCCCGACACGGAGTTATTGACTGCAAAAGCATTCGGGAATTTTCGAGCAGAGCGCGAATATATTAAGTGCATGCCAAAAACCTATTGGTAAATTATTCGTGATTGACGGTCAGTTGAATCACAAAAGACGGATTAACCGTTGGCCCGTAAAAGTACCGAGCGAAGGAATAAGCATTCAACGAGGAGAGGGTGGGGGTGTAGGTATAATGGAGTGGGCCGAGGACCGTCGAATAATATAATAAAGTTTAGAAGCCGATTGACCGGGCTTTTAAAAACTCAACGCGACAATAGCCCCGGCAGTCGGGGCCCCGTTTTGTATACCCTTTAAGGAGGAGAAAATGCGAATTATAGCAGCGGGTATACACGGTGTCCTTGAGAAAAACTTTTACACCGATTTCGTGCCGGTAATTTAGTTTATTTCTTTATACGTCTGGCACCCGAAGGGGGTGATACAGGGTAATTTGGGTATCATGATCACTTAAAATATGATTCTTAATAACTGCACCTACTATTTATGAAGATATTTTATGGTCTTGTTTAGTTTTAAACAGGTGCAAATTTTGACATTTAGAATCTGTACCCTTGATTTAACCAGATGTATGCAGTACTCTTTGAAAGAACCTCATAATTTTATTTTCTCGTTATAAAGAAATAAATATATGAAATTGAATAAGTATTCCAGAGAATGTTGCATGACTACTGCATGGGACCACCCTGTACGCCATGAAGACAAAAAACAGGTGGGCATCAATTAATAATGCTTTGTGACCGAAACATGGTTTTCTTACAGAAACCGTGTCGAACCGAAACCGGATCGGACGCTCCATTTTTCGGGCGTCGGGGCCGAAGGATACAATCAATTTTTGGCGAGATCCAGCGGATAAACATCATCAGCTCGCAAAAGGCCTTTGAAAGGAGGCGTTGGTCCATCGCTCTCTGCGGAAGAACAGCTGGGGGACCTTCGACTCCCAACTGCTATACGTAATCGATGTCGACTGACTTTCTCTCTCGTGGGCCCCGCCAGACGGGACGACCGGATAGGCGAGAACACTGTTCACGGATTTGTAAGTTCGATCTTTCTCTCCAGAGACCCACCGTTTCCTCTGGTTAAACATCCAGAAATTACGTGCCCCACGCATAACGCATAGCTACTTAAAACCTATCGTATCGATATTCCCAAGCATACTATTTTCCCTTCACAAAAAG